ACAAGCTATAGACTCTGTTGGAAGTTAGCAGGAGGCAGTTAAAAATCACTAAAAGGAAAGACCCACATGAACGCAGGAGCATATCGGATTTCTTGACGAGTCTGTAGGTTTTCGACGATAGACGTTATCATCCCTGCAGCTTGGAAGGCAATAGTACGAGACGGATACGCCATCTCCTCAACACGGTAGCTGTTTGGCGCCGACGAAGCAGGAGGCATGTGTGCTCGATGCAGGAGACAGAGGGTGGTGCTTTGCTCATTAGCCATGGCCTTCCAAAGATCAGATTCGCTTTGCACTCACTAGTAGTTCGCATGAAGAAGAGCTGCCAAGAAGTGATGCCGGGACTTCTGCCAGCAGACCTCCTTTGGGCAATTCTGAAGCCAATCTGCCAGGGCCATATCGGAATGCGTCAAGTCCATGGCGTTCATCCTCCGAGATTTGGACGCCACAGAGTATTGTTGAGATAGCACTAGGCCCATGATTTCGCACAGTTTGACATATTGAAGGAAGAACTGTACGTGTACAGGGTCCGGAGGGCACTCGGCGACGCTGTCGATCTCGTCCTCAATGAAATCGTCCTCGGTCAACATGCCCACGTCTGAGTCGTCGGTGTTGATTCCGATCGGCCGACCGAGGGCAACTGCCACGGATCGGTCTCTGGTGAAGAGAGTCCACCAAATACGCTTCCATAATCTCTTGTCTGGCTTGCTGAGTTGAGATGTTTCCACGCTACGATCGTAAGCCACTGAGCCGAAGTGATCATAGGGAAATAAGGCCATACCTTCGATGCATGCCGGAGCCTTGTGCGACGACCATTGCAACTCTTGTCCAGTAGAAGACGTTCTTTGTCACGTCTGTAGGAAGTTAGAACAGGCCGACTCTCAGACAAAGCAAACAAACAAACCTTCGGGGCCTTCCCAGTACCAGCCTAGGAGAACAAGGGCCTGAACAATCGTGACGCGGTCGTCTTCGTAATTAGCATCATAAAGTGCTTTCGCCCGTTTATAGAATGTCATTGCAGCGGGGGTGGTGGAGCCGTTCGCATCCATAAGTTGGGGATTCGTGCAAACCCTCGAGCCAGCGAGAAGGATGGCCTGCAGTAGAAGCAAAGAAGGTGGATTCTTCGGATCGCGATATTGTCGCATAAAACGACTGCGATTGATGATGGGGACGATAGGCGCGACCCATTTGAAATAAGCTTCGACAAGCTCGTCACAGAGGGGTTTGGGAGGGAGTAGGAAAGCGCCACGCTGATGGAGAATGTCGAGTTCGAGGTTGTCGAGGTCCGTCAACCGAGCACGCGATCCTCTGATGTTAGGCGGAAGAGGATAGTGCACGACGTCCGTTGTGCCATGACGATCCTGAACCAGGAGCGACAGGTTTGATGACTCTCCGAGATAGGCGACTCTGCCTGCTTCTTTTATCGGTGCTCGGGCAAACTTGGGCTTCATAAATTGGGCATAAGTGTTGTTCTGGGACGCCTGATGAGCTTCCTGTTGCTCGGTGAGGGTCGTCACTGGCATCCCATCGACGGCCATCCGGTTTTTGCGGTACCCGAAAGCATCCTTGTCATCTGCGCCGTCACTTGGCGACTCCTCCTGCTTGTCCTGGCCGTCCTCGTTGCGCTCATCAGTCCTACCAGAAGACAGCGGAGGTCAGCAGTTGACGAGAGCTATGGCTGGTAGACCAGGCGCTTTACATACCCGCTGTTCGTATCCTTCGACTTAGTCTGGTTCTTCTTGCGCTTCGGCGTAGGGATCTTGCACTCGATCGAAAAGGCCACACAGTTGGTGCAAGGCACACCTAAACTGGCAGCATCGCAACGGACCTGCTCGAAAACGTTCATGGTCAGCAACGTCCTTTTTGCAAAACTCGGCAATGACACCAGAGGATAAACTCACCTTTCGCGCATGGCAGGTCTATAGCACCCATGACAAAAAGTAGCAGTTAGCAAAATAACTCATTGTGGTATGATTGTGGTGTGGAATGGGGTGATCGTGGTGAGCTCGATATAGTGACGATAGCTGCGATGGGCCGAGGTGCCGAGGCACCCGCGCAGGTCGCGTTGACCTCGCAGGAACGCATAACGAGAGAACGTACCTCACAAGCACGCGACGCACGTTGTCTGTTTTAAAAGATTAGATAAAGCCAATTAGCATCGATAGAACTTCTTTTTAAACCCGAACTGCACAATCTACAAAGCTTTCTACCCCAATATTGTCGACTGGACTGAATTTTCTTCGTGCGACCATCCGGGACAATAGCCCCGCGACAGGCAGGAGAATCATCAACCCTCCACCACAGCGAAAGGAAATATCACCACACACCTTCTGAAACTCATTTGTCCGTTTGGACCACCACGCACAGTGGTGCCTGAAGTACCCGTTGAGCCCGCGGTGCTGGGAGCAGGGCTAGGTCTCGTGGGTGTAGATTCGGGGCGATTCTCTGCTATTGTGCTCATGGCCAGGTATCCATCCAAGAAACTTGCGACCGGGGAGCGTTTCAAGCGGAGACGGCGATAATAAAAAGGAACAGAGGACGATGAGGGTGGGTAGCGGTAGGTCTAGGAAATAGACGAGAATAAGGTACTCAAAGGGGAGTACAGGGAACTGGAGATGAACGAGTTTCCTCTCTCTGTCTTAATGGGGAGCGCGTTGCGTATTGGCGAATAGTAATAGGGACGAGAATAAGCCACGGAACAGGTAAAGTGGAAGTGAAAGCAGACGAACGAGAAAGGCGTCAGAGGAACAAGCGCCACCGGATTAGTAGCAGCTAGACTGAGTCTTGAAATGGATGCGATGAATGAATGAATGGGACACGAAACCTGTGCGGGTGGGCAGTCTTACCCTTACGGGTCCGTGGTCACAGGGGGTTGTTGGTGCCTCACTGGCTTTGGTGGATTCGAGAGATGCGGTGGAGAGGGGAGGAAAAAGGTCTTGGGCGGATCTACTACTACCTTAGGACTACGGACTAAGGAACCAGAGTTGAAACGTACCAGAACATGAGAGTATAATCAAAGAATTAACCATGACCTTATATACAAGTATAGGAGCAGGCCAAGTACTCCGTCCTTAAGTTCTTGTACTCATTACTCCAGTGCCGAATAAGCAACATGACCAGACACGAGGAAACCCATACCTACAAAATGCAGCCAAGCTCTCAGGTTGCAATATTACCAATTCGATCACTAGGTATCTCTCAAGGAGTTCCGGGATCCGAAAGAGCAGAGCACGGTGTAAGCTAAGCCTCGAGCAGGATCATCTAGGGAATTGTGGGGAGACGAGGATTTATTAGATGAGCCGTTACTATTAGTATTTCTGCCTTCTTGCTGGCTGGACCACTGCATATGTACCCAGTACCTCTCTAGTATCTCACAACTATGTCCATGATTGAGAGTTCACTTGAAACATGGTTTATAAGCTGCTAAAGTGCATGCTGTCACACTGCATCAGTACTCACCATGAGTCTCGACCTTCCTTTTATATAGTGCTTAAATTTGGGGCTTGCTGTGATCTTCTCTAATGGAACGCCGAACACGGTTTCAAACCCCATAGTTGTAATTACTCTCAACGGAATAATCATCCACCAGAACAGTCCTTTACGTGTCAGGACTACTTAATTGTAATTCCTTAATGCTGCCTCTGCAGTCTATGCGCATTCTGTAAGCTAGAGGATAACCGAAAGGGTCCTCAGAAATGGCCCTAACCCTGGTGCTATTCTGATTTACCACACTGGTAAAGCTTCTTTATTGCAACCCACTGTGAAGTCCGTTAGGAACCACACCCAGTTTCATAGTATGGTATTTGTGCATCTATTTACTGCATAGATGGAATCTGATATTCAAGTATTCATTTCTGGTACAAACACTGCCAACTGAACAATACACTACATTGATTATTTCCACTCGAGATTTGACCGCCAAGGACAAGGCATAACCGACTAGTATCCGCTAATAGACTACGGGGCCTGAAAGTGAAACAACAGAATCATGATCCATGATGATCATTCAACTTTCCGCCGGGAGTTATCATTCCTTGATATATTGGGTCTAGTCGACACCTAACTATGGAGCCTCAAGGTCCTCATCTCAATCCGTACGTCTGATCACTCTCGACAATACTAGCCTAATCCTTAACGGTGTGCCTCGACCCGTACCTCGACCGCCGAAGATAGTTACGGACTCCAGATCCTATCTCTTCTAGTCTATACTGCAGAACAAGCTAGATTGCATTCCCTCGTCCTCTGGTTCCCGCCACCACTTGTCTGCTTGTCCTCCTACAAATAACTAGCCATCGAGCAGTCCGTGCTCCCAGTTCCAAAATCGAGTCACCACGCGGAAAGATACGGAATCCCGCAGTGCATCTCGAACTCCACGTAGGTAATCAGAAAACAAGACAGAAAAAGCAAGCATCATGCGACCAGCCACCTCCCTCCAAGCCTCCAAGCCCGTAAACTGCGGCATTTACACCTGCCATCCACCCTAGCAAATCCCAGACCCTCTGATGACTCGTAAAATCGCAAATGTAAGCTGCAAGCATCCCGCATCTCCCCGGTTTTAATTCCCGCATTCGCGTCATCAATGCCATCAGATCCGGCTCCTGCGAGTGGGAAGAAAGATGGCAAGAAGGTGTAATGTACATCGGATGGTGCCTGGCTCTTCCCCGCAATTCCGCCATCGGATGGGCTGCCTTAGGCTGGAAATGGTTAGGGCTGATGCGCGAGGATGCGGGTCAAGTTTCTTGGGATCCAATAGTGGGTTGGCTTGTGATGCCTCGGCTTAACTGATGGTATAGTGTTCTGGGGTAACAGTGGTCTGAGATGAGTGGTACATCAAGTGTGATGAGGAAGCATCAGCTGCATCATACAGTGGTCAAGACGAAGAGAAGACTATGCGTCTAAACAATAAAGTACCCAGTAATTAGCTATGTATGGCTTCCTGCCAATAATCTATAAATAACATTTACATGAATCATAAGGAGCCGCCATTCTGGCGAGCCGTTTCACTCCCTTCTAGACCCATCGGCCTTTTTGCCGTTCGCCGCATCTTCAGGCCCGGACTGCGCGCCTGCAACGTCGCTCTCCACAGTCCCGTCCAGGGCCTTGGTGATAGTGGCCCCGATCGCCTTGGAGGTCGGTCCAAAGTCCACCCCGCTGATAAACACCTCGCTAAGAAACTCAAGTCCCGCAACGAAAGTGCACAGAAAGCTGGCGATCAAAAAGTGGCTGATGGTGGTGCCGATGTCCAGCCAGGACCCTTCATCCCGCACCATATAGAAGAAATTGAGAGTCATCACGTCCGAGATGGACATGACAACCATGAACAGAGCGCTAGGCGCAACCTCCAGCCGGCGGTTGAGGATACCCAGATTAGCGCTGATGATGGCAAAAGGAATGAGCAATTTCAGGATGAGCAGTGCGCCTTGGCTAAACGGATTGAAAACAGGTATGAGACGGCAGACGCTCTCCAGCGAAAACGATGAGACTGATGCGATGTTGCCTGTGCTGAAGAAGGCGGATTGGAGAAGGAAGAAGAAAAACAACGCCACGCGCGTGTCTGCCAGGCCTAGCCTGCGGTAGCGGTATTCCTGCCCATCGACTACCGCTGTAGCGTTCAAGCCCGGCTTCTTTGGAACCGTACTGCTTCCACCATGGTGCGCCGAGGACCTTGCAGTGTATACGTATATGGCATGCTCCAAACGCACCCACGTGACTAGTGTCATGCAGAAAACAAAGTAGAAAAGACCCTCATACGAAATAGTGAGGATGATAAAAGTGGGTGAGAATGTGAGGAAAAGTACCATCAGGCGGTGCAAGTAGTGGCTGTTAGGATATAGTCGATGGACAAATGGCAGCAGAAGCGAGGCAACTAGGATCGTGTTAGCCAGGTTTGAGTAGGGCTGCAGAACGAGAGTCGAGCCAAGCCACGTTCTCGCAACACTTACCCAGAACGAACCAGCCAACTACTTGGTTACCAAATGGAAGGCCTTCCTTGGCCTGCAAAGACGAAACACTGGATCTGGTGACTATCATGGCAAGCAAAACCATGCCAACCTACTCAAGTTAGCTGATTGCTCTCGAAAGTGTCAAGGCAGCGGCATAGTAGACAACCACCCGCCGTGTAATTTCCGAAGACCGCACGAGGAGAGGAAAATGACAAAAAGTCGTACCTGCATGCCCATAATGACTCGCGACCCCAAGCTAGAGATGGCCCCTGGCGCATGTCCTGAAGATTTACTGTGTTTCAAGATGGTGTCCTCGAAAAGTAGATAGAACAACCCGGTGAAGAACATCAGCAGTGCACCATAAGTTCTGCACAAGCAAATCGTTAGAACATCATCCACAAATCAGCCGAGATAATCAAAACCTCATACATGGTGTTAATGTCTTCTACTTTGATTACAGGAAGCAAAGTAAAAGTGCTCATGAGAGAGCATCCGACGGCCCATGTAGCGGACAGAACCGTATTCTGCTTCACAAAGTCGACGCCGTATAAAATAGGCCAGAATGACCCGAGAATGAAACAGGCCGTGAAGATCTCACGGTGGAAGTAGGATTGGACCTGGTTGCCTTGTCAGCTAGCGTCCAATGTGCCAATGTCTTGCAACCTACAAGAGCTTCCAAAACTCCAACAAAGGCTATCAATTGAAATCCGAGCGCGATGTAGCCACCGAAAGAGCGAACGTGGCCCAAAAGGATCTCGCGACCAGCGATCAGTGCCTTCCTTCGTGCAAAGACCTCTTCCCAGAAAAAGATTGGAAAAGCTCCGTAGAAATAGTATCGCCAAGAAGATTTTTGATATGAAAGAACCGAAAAGAGAGCAGCAAGAATAGACGTGAAGAAAATGGTGCTGCCTACGGTCCGATTTGAATCCGAGATACCGTGCAAGACATGCAGATCAATAACGGTTGTCAGTGCATAAGCAATCCAACCTAGGTATCCGAAGGTGATGATGGTTCGGAGGAAGAGCCAGTCATATGTTTGCAGATAGCGCAGCCCCTCTAGCGCAGTAGCAAATAGAGCGCCAGACCTCTGGATGGACTCATCATAACTGCCGTTGGCAATGAGGGCCTGGATCTCGGCAATATGCTCCTCCACCGAGTTCTCGCCATGATCTGCCAATGGCTCAAACGGCTTGTATCGCAGCAATGCGGCTCTCTTTTGCTTCTCCTTCACGCGATACATCTCCAATACTTCTTGCGTGTTCGCCAATGCAGCGAGCGCCTTCTCCTTTGGACGAGCATCGATATATTCAAGTGGCAATTGACCGACAGAGTTCACAGGGAAATCCAAGCCAGCAAGATACGCCATGAGAGCAGCAACATCGGCCTGTGCGACATCATGGCGTTGAATGCCGTCAAGGCCCCAATCGGCAGAGAATCCATCCTCATGACCAGTGATAGTCTTTCTCTCTGTGTACTTTGGACCAGCAACACCAGATCCCCAGACGACTAGAGGTGTTCTAGTATTGTCAGGATGGCCATCTCCATGGCTTCCCCAATCGCTCATACCATGGTCTGCGGTGAAGACAAACGCCGTCCTGTCGTCGCCGTAGAACTCTTCTATGAGTGTTGCTACCTCCTGCACCCCCTTGTCCACAACCTTGATATTATGCAGGTATTCCTTGGAGTAAGGACGGAAGCCGTGGCCAGTGGTATCGAGTCCAAGAAGATGCAGAAAGAACACCACCTTATCCTGACGTAGCTTTGCATCCAACTCGGGATCGCTCTTCGCAGAGGCAAAAAGCTCCTTCACCTTGTTGAAGACCCAGGTATCCAATAGCGTTGCATCCATCGTAAAGTCCTCTATCTCTTCTCCGTACATGTCGGCATCAACACGTCCGGGAACTGCGCCCTCCTTGAACATTGCGAGAATGTCCGGACTCCCCCAGCTCCAAGTATGCCGGCTTTGGTTGAAGACACTGTCGAAGTTGACCGGGTTCAATTTCCAACCTGTTGTCACTGCCGAGACATCTTCGTACAGACCTGCGATGAGTGCAACATGTCCAGGGCGAGACTCGGTGGGTACTCGGGTGTGGGAGACGCCAAAGGTTCCGTGGGAGAGCACGCGCGAACGAATGAATGGAGCGAGGTAGATTGGATCGTTGTTTTCTGCATCTTCACCGTCTTCCGGAGAAGGGTCTGGAGCTGGCTGAAAAGCCTTGTCGGCGCGCAAGCCATCGGCAACGAACAGCACAAGACGACTGGCTGGCGCATTCGTTCCAGGTTCTCGCTCGACGCCATACGATCTCATGCCGCTCACGATCGGACTAACAAAGTAAATGTCAAATATGGAATAAGCATATATAAGATGGAACACCACCGCGAGGGCGAGAAACCCAAAGCGGCCCAGACGCGCCATCTTGCCTTCACGGGCGATCCAGCTTCGGAGGATAGCTGTAACAAATGAGTGGAATTGGTCCCCCAGTACGTAGTAAAGAAAAGGAGATCAAACAGTTATAATGGAAAGAAACGAATGGAAAAAAGAATATTGCTAGCGAGCTGTCAAGCATCTGCGAAACATGAACCTGTCTCTTTTTTTAATGACAGCTTTGGGGAACTTGGGGATGCCCCAGCCAATCGGGGGTGCCTAATGCGGCATGCCGCGGTTACGGTGGCCCGCAGAGCCCATGACGCAGCCCCTGATGGACTATATATTTCATTATTTGAAGGACTACTCTCATTAGAATAAAGACTTGAGAGACTGGCAGTACAAAGAGAGTACGATAATCCCAACGCGCTTTTTGGTCAACACGGATTATAAACTGTCACCGATGAATCCTACCATGCTCGATCCAAGACACCTAAATTAGCTCCAGATACCTATGCAACAGGCAAATATACCATGCCAAAGCTGAGAAACGCAAGAATAGATATAACACCAAGAAAGAGCGCTCAGTTAGTTGAACTGCGCCGCTTTGTAAGCGCATCGATGACCCGTGCGTAGAATTTTGACGCTTGCTGGCGGACAAAGGTGATATCGACTGTAAGATACTCGGGAAGAATCTCGACCAGTTCGCGATCGCGACTTTCATCCAACAATGGGACATACTGGAATTCTGCCGTTTCGAAGTTGGTAGATGTTATCGTCGGGACAGCCAATTTGAAGTGAAGAGCTGCTGAGTTGTCAGAAACGCATCTTGTAATCCTCCCTTTTCGAAATGGAACTTACTTCCGTTGACGCCAGTCTGAAGGCAGTCATACAGATGATCTGATTCCCTCTTCTTGACATCAAGAATGACAAGACCAGTGAGGTCGCTGTACAGCTCCTCCTTCAACTGCACGAGATGAGCTGCTTGGGCTGCCTCAGCATCAGCTGCGCGGTTTACCCTGTTGTTTTTGATTGCGCTTCCTGGAACTTTCGCCGCAGCGTTTTCGAGACTGGCAGTAGTATTACGGGCAGCTGCCAGCTTGGTCTGTAAGGCTTTGACCTCCGACTGAGCAGTAGTCAGTTGGTTCCTGGCGTCTGACACTTGGGCTTTCAATTCAGCGACTTCCGCATCGCGCTCCTTCAATTGTTTCTGGAGCGCCCGGCTTTGTTGGCCAAGCTTCTTCTGCGCTTCCAGCTCTGCCTTGAGAGAAGCAACCAGATTATTGGAAGCTAAAAATATCAGCGTTTGACATGTCACTAGGCGTGACGACCTACATACCTGTCGTCACTGCTTCGCAATGTTGTCGAAGCTTATCCATATTGGCATTCGCCTCGACGATCCCTATCTCTCTGAGGTTACGGTACCGGTTCTCCAGCGCGTCATATTTCTTAGTCAAATCACCGGGTCTACGCCTCAACTCCGGTTCACCCATCTTATCATCACCCGTGGAAACCCCGAGCTTCTTCTTCAGAGGGGAGCTTCCTGGTGCGGGCTGTGACGACCGTCTGCCTTTCAGAGGTGATGCTGACGCTGATCGAGGGACCACGGGCTCTTCACGTAGAATAGACTCTTCAACGACTTCCATTTCCTCCTGCTCCTCTTCTGCCGCGACACTGCTGGGTTCAGTCCAATGAATGCGTCGCGATTGTCTTTTCGGCCGCTCTAACTGCTCCTGGGGCTTTGCCGGCGGCTGCACTTGTCTCGTAGCCCTCGGTGTATACTCAAATTCACCATCGGTCTGTATCTGCTTTCCAGCACTGACTTTCCTGCGTCCCCGTGTAGCTGCAGGTTTTGCCGATTTTGCCGTTTGATTTGTCTTGGAAGCAACTGGCGCATCATCCAGCTCGTCGTTGGACGCCGCAAAACTCTCAGGTTCTTGGACTCCGATTTCATCCTTGATTTCCTCATTGCCGCCTTTCCTCCCTGGACCTTCCTGCGTTGCGCCTTGCGCCGAGTTTCGGCTACCCTTTGGTCGTCCCCGTTTGGACGCTTTCTTCGGAGCACTGTCAGAGGCTCGCGCTTGAGCCACTGTCGAACTACGTTTCGTCTCGGCTGGCGGTTTGCTTTCAACGGACTTGGATCGTGGCCTTCCTCTCGGTCTCTTGGCTGGGCGCTCGTTTTCGCGCTGTCCTCCATCATTGAGCTGCATGGCATCCGCACCGTCCGAGCCTGCCAGACCAGAGAGCCTGGCTGTCGCTTTTCTTTTCGGCATCTCAGGTAATATGTATATTATATTCTCTTAATCAAACAATGATAAAACTTGGAATGGTTATACCGCACGCGACATCGCTATACATTCCGTCCGATGAACTTGCCACCCACAAACCAAAACATCGCGTCCACCCACGGACTCACCGCCTTCCGTGTCGCTCACCGCATTGCAACGACCACATGCAGATCGCAGGCATGTGACGTCCCGTCGGCAAAGCCACGATGTTCAGCGCCACAGCTGTTCATATCGCCGACAGCCGACGCTCCCTGGACTCTTCAAAGTTGATTTCAATCAACCGAAATATCTCTCATCGTAATTCCCGGTTGCTTGCACTCGGGCGACCGACTATCTTCGAGGCCATTAATTGGCTACTTGTTGCAGATTGCCTAACCGTCTGTTACTCCTGACTCGGCCCCGCTATCATGGCTTCCGCGCGCGGTCCAAGATGGCAGCATTTTTTGCAAGAGCTGGTGATGGTCGCTGGTACTGTGAGTTCTATGACGCTCGGCCTATTTTAACGAGTTCTAATTATCTTTGATAGTCGGCCTCCGCATACTTCCTCATTCGTTACCTTCTATCGCGCCTTGATTTCGACCCGGAGAGCCAGAAGAAAGAAGAGCAACGGCGCAAATCAGCCGCCATTCTGCGGAAGCTCGACGGTGGAGATGAATCAGACGACTACTCACCACGCAGAGGTGCTAAAAAGGCGCGCCGACAAAGGAGGGGAGATTTGGTCCTCAACCAGTACGAGCAAGCCATCGCTATGGATGTTGTCGCTCCCGATGACATTCATGTCTCATTTGAGGATATTGGAGGTCTGGACGATATTATCGAAGAGCTTAAGGAATCCGTCATCTATCCTCTGACCATGCCTCATCTCTACTCTTCCACGTCATCCCTTCTCAATGCGCCGTCGGGAGTATTACTTTATGGCCCGCCAGGGTGTGGAAAGACTATGCTTGCCAAAGCGCTGGCTCATGAGAGCGGCGCATGCTTCATCAATCTACATATTTCCACCTTGACTGAGAAATGGTACGGTGATTCGAACAAGCTCGTCAACGCTGTTTTCTCGTTAGCGCGCAAGCTGCAGCCCTCGATCGTCTTCATTGATGAGATAGACGCAGTGCTCGGCACACGGCGGAGTGGTGAGCACGAGGCGAGTGGCATGGTCAAAGCCGAATTCATGACGCACTGGGATGGTTTGACATCCGCAAATTCTCTGGGTGAACCACAGCGGGTGGTTGTTCTCGGAGCCACAAATCGCATCCAGGATATCGACGAAGCGATCCTTAGGCGGATGCCTAAGAAGTTCCCCGTCACCCTTCCTCCGGCCGCACAGCGACTTCGAATTCTCAGTTTGATACTCAAAGACACCAAAGTCGATCGGGAAAACTTCGATGTTCATTACTTGGTCAAGGCAATGGCGGGGATGTCCGGCAGCGATATCAAGGAAGCTTGCCGGGATGCCGCCATGGTCCCTGTTCGAGAACTGATTCGACAAAAGAAGGCAGATGGTCTCCAGATGACATCCGTCAACCCGACTGAGGTTCGCGGCCTTCGTACAGAAGACTTCTTCTCTCGAGCTGGAGGCGTCAGGGTCATTTCGCAACCCTCTCAGCCCCAGACACGACCTACAAGCAAAGCCAGTTCGGAGAAAGAGTGGAGCACAGCTGAATCAGATGCAGCATCTGAAGTCGAGGCACGACCCGCTGAGATGGCCGAGCCTCCTGAATAAACCAACTCTTTCAGTGATTTGGATGAATTGCTCGTCTAATGTCCTTGATACCAATGTATACAGCACCCCGGTTATGGCGTTGATTTTTGGTATAATACAGTCTCTTGCATTCATATATTTTTTTCTGGTATCTTCCGGGTCATTTCTGTTGATGGTTGCTGGCTTTGGCTATCTAATACTTGCGAAACAAGGTCTTTGCCATAAAATGGCATTGTTTATAGACTTTTGATAGCACGATAACCGAAAGACTCTCCCTCTCTCATAACTGAAGGATCCTAGAGCTGTGTAGAGACCGAATACGCTACATTGTAATGTGGCCAAATCATACACTTTGTTCCACTACGAGACGAGCAAAACTTCATGAAAATCGAAATAGTGATGGACAGAATTCGATTCACCGATTCATTTCTTCCATTCTGATAGACATTTGACGTGGATGGTGCCATAGGCGATAGATAGATGGATAACAGACATACGTATGTAGCGGGTACAGTGGCCACCGGGAAGTACGGAGTAGCACGATTCTTGGAGAGCGGCGGTAACACGACACTTGCCGATCACAAGAACCTCAGCGATTACGAAGCTCCTCTCTATTCGCTATTATTCTATCTACTCCCTTCAGATCTTTCAAGTGTTTGTAACCTTTTTCTCATCCAAAGACCCTACCCTGGTTGACTGAAACGGAACACTTGGCGCTCGTTGGATCCAGTCCGTTCGTTTACTCCATCCTTCTCATTGCGGGTCGTCGTCACAAGGAGTCCGCAAACTCCTGCTGGATCCCGCGTCTCTACCCCCAGATCTGGCCAGCTTCTACACTTCCCCTGTTGCCTCACTCTGCGCGCCTGCATACTTCAGCACCTATCTCGAAGGGAAAGATCCCATTCAGTATATTCGTGGTCGCTCATTCTTCCCCACCTGCCCCCTGGTCCTGTGATTGCGACGATACGGTGACTGGATGACGAATGGTCTATCCTAGGTAGAGAGACCTCCGATGGCAACACATGCCTTGGTGATCTCACGTGCTGAGTTAAGCTCCTAAGGAAGAGCTTGCGACATCCATCAAAGCGCGGACATCCATTGTTTTTCTGTTTCGCCGGGAATGAGTTCCAACAATGGCATTATTGACACTTTCAGCCCTGGGGCCGCCAGTACGAATACCGACAATAGATCTACGTCCACCGTCCGACCACGAACCCGCCGTCTGATATCGGTTGATGATGTTACCGACGAGGACTATGGAAGACCGATGCAGTCCACCAGGCTTTCTACCACAACTGTTTCACGAGACTCCTCCGCAGTCCGTTCGCGAGGTGCCACCCCATCACCCCACACATCCCGCGGGGCGTCACCCCTTCCAATGCGACATCCTTCGCGCGCCACTGAGTCACTCAACCGAGATAACCTCAATGGGTTCGGTGGTTCCCTAGGCGGGCACAGTCAGACAGGGAAGGCACAGGTCAGGTTCGCCGATTCGTCGCGGGCAGCGGTGGATTTTCTAGATGCGTCTTGGACTTCCTTACAAAGTCTGGCATCTTCTTTTTTGGGGAGTGATATTGCCCGACCCGCACCGAACGGGACGGCACGTACCCATGCGAGGAAGCCGTCGCGACCAGATCCGTACATGAGGGCTACTCCAAAGACACCCTCAGCATGGGGTCCGTCGGCCCCGTCCACATCGGAAATTGCAGCCGGAACAAAGGAAGAAAGACAGGCTATGGTGCAGGCAAAGAAGCGGGAGGCTCTACTACTAGCAGACACGGGTTCTCTCGCTAGTCACGACAGTCGGCACAAAAGGCGAGATTCCAGTGAACAGACGGACCACTCGGCGATCGATGCAAAGCAAGACGAGGAGGCTTTAGCGTATATACACCACGTTCAGCCCAATGACAGCATTACCGGAGTTGCCATTAAGTATGGCTGTCAACCAGCGATCTTCCGAAAGGCCAATGGTTTTTGGCCCACTGACAGTATTCAGAGCAGGAAGACCGTGCTTTTGCCAGTTGCCTCCTGTTCTGTGAAAGGACGGCCGACCCGTGCCCCGGCCGAAGTTGATCTTCTAGGCGGTGACACTTCTAGTCGGGATTCTCTAGAGGATTTGAGTGGAAGCTCCATAGCACCTTCACCAAGTTCAGACACTCGGGCTTCCGCTGCCGAGGGAGAGGCATCTACAGAAGCACCACTTGAAGGGGAAGCAGATAGGATCTGGAAACATCAGTCGTGGGTGCAGATCGATGGGTTTTCCGCGCCAGTAGAGATCGGCCGCGTTCCTCGCAAAGCTTTGGGATTCTTCCCGCGTACACGACGAAAATCTCTATCTTACACAGACTCCGAACCTCGTTCGTCGATATCCGGCCGCGAGCGAACGGCAACTCTCACTTCAACTCTGCCTTCACCGACGGAGTCGCCATCGTCGCAAGCGTCTACTGCACAGAATCGAAGCACTGCAGACCCTTCAAGGGCGCGAGCCATGTCTAGTGCCAAGCCGAGACCGCACCACCAACGACAACGTAGCAATATACAGCTCGTGGGAACAGGAGTCGGAACGCTCGATCGCAGTGCGATGGCTCCGGGGCCAGCTCTCGACGGATTGAGTAAATTTGTCGCACAACATCTGCCAAATCTAGCTCCTGCTCCTGCGCCCCCTGGCCTGGGAAGGACGCCGTCCGAGTATGCCGCGGCTACGGCTTCCACTGCCTCAACTAGCCTTGACAATATAGGGGGTGCAGTTGAAGGCTGGGTGAGAAAATTGACGACTCGAGCGAAAGCAGGTCTCAGCGACCTACAACAGGGCGCTCAAGCCTATCAGAGCAATACTGGTGCGGGGACTAGCCGACGTGGCATGGGAGATTTAATCGAATTGAACGCTGGCTTGGAGTCAAGGACTTCATCTGGCCTTCTGCCGGAGAATTCGCGAAAACCCGATCTGAGCCGGTCAGGATCAAATGTGCACGACGCGTCCTCATTGAGAGGACGTTTCCCCAGTCCATCATCCGGAACAAGCAGGACTCGCACGGGTGGATCAAACCTAGGCTATGGCGACCGAGTGAAGGATGACTGATCTCGTGCACAAATGTTCATAGCTGCTATGTCTTGCAATTCTGGCTTGTATCTTTTCTGGTGTCTGGATCATCACTCATTAATTGCCCCTCGGCATTCTTTCTGCCACTCGGAATACTCGTACAACCAGCATGGCGCCGCAGGACAGCACCTCTGATATACAGTGTGGTTGACTCCTGATAATATTGCTAGAGGGTGTTGGGATACCCGTTGAATCTTTTCTTGCTTCGACCCAATGTATTTAGCTGAAGCAGCAGGTCATACCCATTTTCAGATAGTTCACTTGAGATAGATTCATCAGCGTTCGTATACCATTTTATTCTGCAGTATCAAGTCTTTCTACAGGCTACGCCAAATGGTTATAAGCATGGAGAGATAAATGCTTCCTTAATAAACAACATGGAGATTTAAGAATAGCCAGACTGATTCCTCCCTGGCTTGTTGCGTCGGTCTTCTCGCGGGTCTGAGTGATACCTGACAAGTCGACAAAGCTGACGGCATCGAACCTGTAATCAAAGCTTCTAACGAGCTCCTGTAGATCCACGCATCAAAGCTCTCTTGTTCTCTGATTTGGACTGGGGAAATGCTGCAGACGGAGAAATTGATGTACAGTTCCAGTTGACGCTAGCGAGTGACAGCGTCTCTCCTCAAATACTTCCACCTATCGTCTGCTTCCCCCCAACATCAAGAGATGAAAGCGTATCCACTTCCCCGGAATATACCCCATATCCATTGACAAAGCACTGATGAAGATGCGGAGAACCTCCAACATGGGGACTGCATTTAACAGGCTGATTCCCACGGAGATGGCAACCCAGCCGGTCGTGCACAGTGTCTCTCAGCGACAGAGACAGACCAACATGCCGCATCGAATCTCCTCTCTCCCCTGGCTGTCTCTCTTACTGGGCACATTGAGCGTTGCTCTGCCTGGCTCGCAGATCCAAGGCGCCATCGCAGACTATCCGACAGCCACCGTGCGTGCGAGCCAGCACTCCGGCTCAGAAACCGTCTTTGTAGGCCGTTCTTTACCAGAGTTTGACCAGGAACTGTTCCTGGGGATTAAGTATGCAGACCAGCCGGTTCGATTCACACCGTCGAGCTTGAAAATATCCTATGCTGCCAACGACAGTAACTCGGGCCCCTTTGATGCCTCTGGGGCTGGCCTGGCTTCGTCCAAGGGCACGCTGCTGTACAATGCCACTCAATACGGGCACGAATGTCCCGGCTACGGATCGGACGAGACGAAGCTGGTCGATATGAGGCTGATTACCCTGAATGAAGACTGCCTGAATCTCAATATCATTCGTCCTCCGCGGAAATCCGATCACGAGGAATTGCTTCCGGTGATGATATGGATCTTTGGAGGTGGATGGCAGCAGGGGGCTACCGCTGATCCCAGGTATGGTCTTTATCGGCTGGTAGTACGGACAGACTGACAGGTATCCGTGGTAGATATAACATGAGCTATATTCTTCATCAAGGAGCTCTGAATGGCAAGCCGGTGCTTGGTGTCTCGATCAATTATCGGGTTGCTGCTTTTGGATTCCTGGACTCGGAGGAAGTTAGGGTACGTATCAATGCAAATGCTCAAGGCTATGCTGACGGTACAGGCTACCGGCAATAACAACCTGGGTCTACGGGATCAACGGGTCGCCATGCGATGGGTCAAGGAGAATATCAAGGCCTTTGGGGGTGATCCTGGCAGAGTTACAATCTGGGGAGAATCTGCGTGAGTGAAGACCACCACTGCCATCCGTGCAAGGCTGACTCGAGCAGAGGCGCCTACAGCGTTGGAGCTCATTTGGTTGCCAATGGTGGTGACAATGAGGGTCTTTTCCAGGCCGGTACGTTCTCACCTTCGCATTTACTATCTGGAAGGCTCACATGGTCGTAGCAATCATGGAATCTGGTAACGCTGTTGGACCCCCATGGAACGGCACGGACTGGCATCAGCCGATGTACGACCGCATCGTGAACAAGACTGGGTATCCTCAATCGCACCTTACGGTAGAGTCTACGCTGACAATTGTAGTTGCTCGACATCCTCGGATACACTCCAGTGTCTGCGAGAAGTCCCCTATGAGTCCTTGTACGACGTGGCATATGAGGGCCTGGAATGGTTCGCCGCCATCGACGGATCCTTTATCAAGGAGTATCCTCAGATCAGTTACACTCAAGGCCGACTGGCAAAAGTATCCATCCTCCTTGGATCCAACACGGACGAGGGCACCAGCTTCGGTACTACCGGGACAAACACCGACGAAGACTGCATTAATCAACTCATATGTGCGTTTTCTGCCTATGGCTAAGGCGATGACTAGTACTGACAGCGACAGCGTCGAAACGCTGGGTCCTAACCCGCGAAGAAGCCACACGCCTTCTCACGTACTACCCCAACGACCCTGCCCTGGGATGTCCCTACGGCTGGGGCAACGTGACATGGCCGAAGCTGGGACTGATGTACAAACGGTACGAATCAATGGCAGGCGATCTAGCCATGGCCGCACCAAGACGGCTGCTTGCGCAGACGATGGCCAAGTACACGAAACAGGTCTACTCTTATCGATGGGACGTGCCAGCCCTGAACACAAGTAGCACCATTGGCGTCGGACATTTCGCAGAGGTAGAAGGATGCCATCACTGCATATGATATCCATGGCTTATCCTGTCGAACAGATCCCATTCGTCTTTGCGAATCCCGTGCAGAACATTACACCGCTGGGAACTGATCCCGCCCGTCTCGAACTGGGCAACATGGCCGCTCGAATGTGGACGTCCTTTGTGACGGACCTGAATCCCAATGGACATGGAGGTACGTCTGGATCACGACTTGAGTGAGAAAGGCTGACAGGCATAGTACCGCGAATTCCGCAATGGCCCAAGTACACACCAGGAAAGAAAGCGTCAAACTTTGTCTTCCGGTTGCCCAGAAATGGAAGCTATGTGGAGCGGGATGACTACCGCTTGGATGGGATGGATTATATCAATAGTATTGCACGATAGCACGTATATAAGGAGTTGTCTTGAATTGAGGCCAAATCATATCTATCAGGGCAACATGACAGAGAGTCAAAGCGCGGACATAGATTCGAAGAAAGTAAAGACTAAATGGTTCTCGTCAACTGGTCAGTACCAGCCAACTGGTAGTCAACTGGCAAGCCATTCGCAAACGAGGTCACCTATGGTTGATGATCCAGTCAATCAAAGTCTATTCATGTAACTCATCTATCCTGCTGTCTATCAGAGATCTAATCCGACAGTCAGTTACGAGACTGACTCAGTCAAAACCACGACATCCTTCTCCAGATCAACCCTAATCAAGAGCATGGTCTTTAATCTTGAGAAGCTCGACCTCACTAATCAACAGCATCAGCATCAGATCGACCCCAAATCGAACCAACCGAGTCAGAACTCAAACTCACAAAACAAGCGAAGCATTAGGCGGAATCAGCCCCGGAAAACCCCTAGCATACCCATTAACCACCTTATTCGGCTCCCTACTCAAACGAGGACATGGACATGAAAAAGAACATACTTCTCTCCATACCCATAATCCCTAGCCCCATATCAGCCAACGTCAACGTCACAAACCCAAAAGCAGAAGCAGAAGCAGAAGCGGAAACCATACCCACTCATCGTCAGAATCGCCTTCTCCCCAAGACTCATCTGCGGAACGCCCTCGTCCCAGCCTGCAGCCGTATGAACGCCCAACATCCAGCATAGCAAAAAGCAGAAAATGTGAAAGAGACGTACCCCGAATGACATCTCCCGCCCCGATAGTCGCCTTCAGCGGGCCGCGCCTTTTCGAACTATCGAATCTGATAAAGAGAGGAATTAGCTAGCTCTGTATCCTGTGTTCACGATGAGTGGTCTACATACTCCTTCCCTTTGTGGTGGTCCGGGTTCGATTCGTCATACAGATAGCCGGTGTAGTTGAGCTCGACGGGGTCGCCGGGCTGGGGGTGGTCTTTGCCGTTGCCCGTTCGGAGGGTTTCTTTTTCGAGGCCCATTGTATGGCTAGCACGGGGTTATTATGAGAATGGGGTGTGTTCTGATAGACTAAAAGTTTAGGAGAGTGGAGGATGTAAGATGGAGGAAGGAGATTGAGGTCATATTGGGTGGGTTTGATGTAATCATTTCATAAAGGCCGATTCTTGGATCCGGAGGGTAACGATGGGAGGGTGGTGTATTGTGGTAAATAGAGTATCTAGGTTCCATGCTTTATTTTCTGCGACAAGTGTTGGTGCAGCTGTGCATTGGTTTGATGGGTGCAGTCTGTCTAGCTAGACCTGCCAGAAAGACATCTTCTTCAACTCATCAACATGGATCGACCGGATCTGTGTCCGCGGAAACCGCTCGTCCACCGCCGGCCCATCCCCCAGCTCGAGATAATGCAAAGTCGAGATACCAGCCTTCTCCATGAACGCCAGCACCCCATGGAAATTGAAGCCGACCTGGTCCAGCCCGTGGCTATCATCCGAAAGGACAAACCGGCCTCCTCGCGTCAGGAATTCCTACTGCCGTCAGTCACCATTCTGCCACAGAGAACGACAATGAACTCACTCTGCAAATCTCCTCCTTGGGATAAGGCTCGCTCATCCCCTTCCGCAGCGCAGCCGAGTTCAGCTCCAGCATGCCCCCGTACCCAGCGATGAAGTCCAGATTCCGCAGAATCCGCTCCCATACCCCAGGCCACTGCTTGAAGCTGCGCTCGGGATCATCGCTCTTCAATTTAATCAGATCAAAGTGCCCCACGACGAGCGGTCGCAGCTGCGTCAGCATATCCAGCTGCTCGTCAAAGTAGCGCTCGAACAGATGCTCGTCCGTGCCGCCGGCCAGCTCACGAGCCTTTTCATACATAGGCCGGTCATAGTCGATCGGCACGGTCAGCGTATGATGCACGGATCCTACGAAGAACTCGAACGGGAACCTCGACAGGCTCTGCTCGATCAGGGCCCGCGACTCGGGCCGAACCCAGTCAATCTCGAACCCAACGAGGATTTGGATCTGGTCCGCATATTTCTCGCGCAGCCGCACGGCCTCTGCGAAGTATGCGGCTTCGTTGGCGATCAGGCCGGCTTCGGTGTTGCCGGTTTCGATCTGATGAATCAGTGCTGTGGTTTGTAATAAACGTTACTTGGGGCGTACCTCTTCCGGGTAAAAGTCTTCTTTTGCTCGGGGCATGTGCTCGGTTAGACAGAAGACTTTGAACTTTTTTGAGATGGCCAATTGGATGATCTCCTCGAGTGAGTCTTTGGCATGGCCCGGGCAAAACTGGCCCGAATGGCTGTGGTGTGAGAACGGCATGACTGCACAGATCTTGAGGGATAGAGCGTGAAATAGAAGAGAGGTCACTTGGACGACGAATAGAAGATGTAGAAATAGCAACGCCTGAAGCAGTACGCTGTAGATTAGGGGTGGATTTTATTGATAGAAGTAGTATGCAAGTGTCAGCACAAACAACCAATGTAACGCTGTACTGAGACTGCGTGGGGAGAATGCCCCGCCCAGAGATATTCGAGCCAAGCTCCGAGGATATAAATATATTGATATCAAACAATGCTAGGGAAGTATTTGGATCTGTCTTGACAGACCAACGATGATTGATGCTCAAGGATAAATATGAGGAAAGGTTGCTACAAGGGAAAGGAAAAAGAGATGATAACAATTCGGCCGACCCACTATCATCCATCCATCTTCAGACCTGGTAACTCTTTCGGAATATTTACAGCACTGCGTTCGAGTATTCTTACTCACGTCTATACTATATATTACAAGACCAGCCATTGTGGACTTGTGGCCATACGCCCAGATATCCCAGTAGTTAGGGAGATAGAAGTGATGCCATGTCATTCATCAAGGATACCTAAAGTCACAGTGTTCATTTCATTGCACCCAGAAGCAGTTCATCTCGAGTACTCGACCTGGCTTGCGTCGTATTCCCTAATACCAGTGGTCGCATATATAATCAACCCTCTGCCACTCATCTTAAGGCAGCCCTAGCGTTGTGCCTGGACGCATAGACGTGTTCACCAAAGTCGCTTTTACACATCGGAGCTCTCAGCAGAGCAAGAGAGCACGAGAACCTCACGTAGCCGAGGGGAAGATCATGAACCGGTGCAAATCCCAGATTGTTGTATCTAGATGTTGAGTCCGACTGTGGGGTCTCTATTGCAGGCCCTCTGGAGGATAACGATGCGGAGGATCATTTCCATGGTATGCAGTCCACTCCTTCTCATCTAGAACTCTTGCAGAAAGAAGATCTGCCACTCGATGAGGTGAGCACTCTGCCTACGTATCGTTAGGTCCTTGCATGAGGTGAGCCTTTCTCCAACTGGTTATAAGATCGTCGGATTGGGCGGCCTCCCACCACCCATCAAGTCGAAACACTCGCTGCTGGTGAACTGTCGAGGATGTCCGAATCGTCGTAGAAATCGTCTTGACCGCATGTCAATGAGTGTGCTCGCGTATGCAGCGAGTAATCAGGATCGTTAATCCCCAGGGGATGGTCGTGGAGGGATCCTTCGAGAATCTCCGAACCACGCGCCAGGACACCAGCAGACGGGCTCCTCGTTTTCCCCGCATGAGACACAGAAATGTCCATCTCATCCCGAAGGATTCCATCCGAAGAGGACCAAGGCATCAATAAGCTTCGACCGGACAGACCTCAACCAGCCGCAAGCACGGTAGCAACCACATAATCCCCATCATGCGAGATAGACAGCTTGCCTATTCTACCTTCGCCACTTCCCCCACCACCCAAGGGATCCAAGTACACAATATCCGGTCTACCCTTATCAGCCTCACCTACCCTAACAATAACATCCTTCCACCCGAGGGACGCCGCCCCGGCCGGAGCAGCTTTACGTGCTGCCTCTTTTGCGGCGAAGCGGCCTGCCAGCCAGCACGCCATGTCCGGTGTTATTTCATTGGGTCCAGCTTTTTCTGCGCCGGATGATGGTGGTAGGATGGAGAATCTGGTGCGGAAGTCTTGCTGCTCCTGTTCGTGGAGGATCCGCCGGGTGAAGCGGTGGAGGTAGTCAGGACGGTTGATGAGGCGGACAATCCGGGGGAGATGAACGATGTCCGTCCCTATATTGAGGGAGTATGGGAAGGGAATTAGTTTCATAGGTGGTTACTGAGCATCATAGGTTTTAGGAGTTGATCTCTAGAACGGTTTCGGAGACGTTTGTATTTTGAGATCATGTGACTGAGGTCAGTGGAAGCAAAAGGGAAACCCTGAATCATGATGATACTACTGAAAAATGGACTATAAATACAGAGTAAATCTTTCATAGATGCTGTCTAGATCACTATTCTGTACTTGCCAATGATATACTCATCGGATGCACTCCCTCATCTGTCTGCTCGTGAGTTGCTGCATCATACGAAGCCATTTACATTTAATCTTCTAAGCTATTGTCAATCTGCTCAACGTACGAAGATCCTCTGAACTGAGGGATCTTCAAGAGCAGAAGGAGCAGATGGATCATCACACGCGAGTATTTGGTACCGAGTTGAAGGAAACAACCTCAAATGGCGTATACCTCTATTATGTACAGATCATCAGCACCACTAGCACAGCCATTGAGCCCCATCACTAGCGAATCTTGACACACGACTGTAGGGATTCAGTCTATTATCGCAAGAATTCACCCAATTATAGAATCGTTTCCATGATGGATATATCTCGCGTTCAATTCCTTTTCGTCGTGCATCAGCAAGGCGTCCTCGACTGAGTCCCTATCGTCAAATGGGAACACCCTAATGATCCGATTTCTTTTGCTCCCCGTTTACTTGGTTCAAGAAGTCCCTGTGATGACCGCGGTTAGCCCATGTCGAAAGCAGCTTGCTGTGCAGTAACTCCAATGATAATGTGCAGAGGCGTATGCCATCGGAGGCCATTGGAACCGCAACGTTGAACGACATATGCGTAGAGTATGGAAGCAAACATACTGGATGAACTTCTCCTCGTCCTTGGAAGAGGCCTGAATGGGAGGAGTAGCCTGCTTCTTCTGACCACCACCGCGAGTCGAGAGGTAGATACCACCGAACAGGGTGCCCATGACGCCCATGGCGAGCTAAAATATTGATCAAAATTAGCGATATGCCATTTCAATGTCATCAGTGACTTGACTCCTGTTCGGCTGTCGTAGCATCACGAAGATATGACGGGAGAGACCGGGGGAACGTACGACGTGGGAGCCGACCTGCTTGCCGGCAATCTGGTAGTAGACGACCATGGTGATGAATTGGAGTAGAATTGACAGAGGAGGATAGACGCGGGGAATCGAGCAATGCGAATAATAGGACCTGCGGAAGCAATCGTCAAAGCCGGCAGTGATGGAAGTTGACTGCGCGGCTTGGTCTTACTCATTCGGTTAGAGTACTGTTGAGATCCCGTGATATCACGTGGTCAACGCATGACATAATAGGTTTGCTCGAGATCATGTGATGTTCCGGCTCGGTCCGAATCAAAGACGGATTCGGGAAGTTCCGCAGCACCGCATCACAGGACTTTGAGAGCACAAACAGCCAACAACCACGAAGGACCAATTGATTACAGGGTATGAGGAGACACATATGCTACAATTCTATTGCTAGAGCTATAAATACAAGCACAACATCACTCGACATGAATCTCTCGTGGTGAGGACCCAGAGTGGCAGTGCAGGGCATTGGACCAAGGGAAGCACCCGATGAACCTCGGGGCAAAAGGTACCTCCAGGCTGGGATGAATTACTCCGTCCTCCTCAATGCTACCCCGGCTACTGCTCGCTGTACAGCTGTTCGGGTGCCGCGTGCGGTTACTGAGGAGGACAAATCAGAGGGAAAGAAATAGATGAGAGAATATTATTCTTCCGGAGCACTTCCTGGCTTTCCATCCATCAATTTATCCTTCTTTTCAACTTACTTCGCTCTGTTCTTGTAGCTTGTAGCTTTGCTCTTCCAGTTACTCGCCTGGCCTGGCTCTCACTGTACATACAGAACGCATATACCCTCCAGTCCAGATCTTCAGTCGATATCAAGTCACGAATTTTCTTTTCCGCAGATTGAAAGCATGTTCTGGAGGAAGCATCACGATGAGGCTCCCACAGACACAGCGCAGCAACCGATTCCCCGCGAGAAACTCCCCGCTCAGCTTCAGAAAATAGTTGACCAGGATGATGGCTTCTACGATGATATCTACCCCCCATAGTATGTTTTCTCCTTGCGCATCATGTCGCTACTCGTCAATGTGGCCGTTCAGGGTCGCATGTCCAAGTTTACCCTGCGGAACTGAACTATGGCATCATATTTCCGCCTGTCCCCGCAAAACATTCAAGAATGATGAATTTCTTTTCCCTCTTCCATACCTCACCAACATTCCTACCCACGACCTCACCACCTCACCGCAACGACAAACCCATCATCTAACATGGACAGCTCTGTCGATTCAACCGACACGCCCTACCGGTACGCCGGTTACGTCAACCGCATTCGCACCATCCTCCTCTCCGCCCACCGCTACGTCGCCTACACCTCCGACATAGGCGAGTCCTTCCGCCCCGTCGCACACCCCTACCTCGTGCGCACCGCCTACGGCATCTCCTGGACCTATCTGCTCGGCGATGTCGCCCACGAAGGCCACAAAGCCTACCTGCGCAACCGCCACGTCCTCGCCCCGCCCGGCGAGGCCTACAAGGACGCCAAGGACCTCTCGGCCAACGAGGTCGTCAAGGGCATGGCAACAGGCGACATGGGCGGTCCCAGCGCCGGTGCTGAGCTCGCCCCGTGGCCGACAACCCCCATCCCCCTCATCGAGGACTACCGCATGGTAATGGTCAAGCGGGCCGTGTTCCAGAGCATCGCAAGCATGGGGCTGCCGGCGTTCACGATCCACTCGGTGGTCAAGTACTCCGGACAAACGATGAAGAACAATAAGAACGTGTTCATGCGGACTTGGACGCCTATCGGTGTATGTCCCCCTCTCCCTCACTTCCTCTCCTCCTCTCCAATCCCAGCTGCAGTGTAAGGCAGTAGTACAGCTACTAATGCGAACGCGATGACAGCTCGGCCTCGCAGTCGTCCCCTTCCTCCCGTACATCTTCGACGAACCCGTCGGCGAAGCAGTAGAATGGTCCTTCCGCACTGCTCTCCGCGCCTACGCAGGCGAGGACGCCGTCCGGCCCCTCCCTGCCCCGGCCTCAGCCTCGGCCGCTCACCCCGCAGACGCAGACGCACCGTCCCTATCGCACTACCTCAAGACCCAGGCGGAGAAGAACTCATCCGCGGCGCTCGGAACCGATGCCTCCGTCGCAGCGAGCGCGACCCTCTCCTGGGAGGAATACAAGGCCGAGCGGCAGAAGGCGAAGGAGGAGCGCAGGCGGGAGCGCGAGGCCAAGGGCCGGACAGGACCGCTCGCTTGGTTGGGGTTCGGGTCGGAGTCGAGCCCGGACTCCAACTCGAAGAGTAAAACCGAGTAATGGGCCTCTATTCTCCTTTTCATATTTGTGTGGGTTGGGGCGGGGCGTTTCATGGGGGGTCATGCGCCTGCGCTTGAGGCCTGTATGTTGATTTAGATTTTTCGATTTGCCGCGTAGACTCCGTTCACTTCGATCCGTTTCCTTTGTCACTCATCTCATCTCTGATCGATATTCAAGATATTCAATATATATTACCGGTCAAATAAATATTCAGACATTCATTCAACATCCACAGGGGGACAAAATTTCTAGACACGACTCGTTCACTCTCTACTCACACTATACATCTGTACAATAATCGCAAGAACAAAACACTAAAAGACATCAAGGGAGAACAGGGCCAGGGGCGGTAGTATACGGCATCACTCATCACAGATACCTAACCCCCCAACCCAGCTATGGAGCAGAGGAATTGATTTATTTTTTTTTTTTGAGACGATGCGAGTCGAGAAGGTAACAATGATCTTGGTGTGGGGGAGGTAAGTACTTCTCTGTGGCACCATAAAGGAAAGTAAGAAATGAAAAGGTAGAAAAGTGAAGACCAAAGTTTGGCAAGAACAAATGGGGAATAAATATAGGGAAATATGGTAGAAGAAAGAGACAGAATGATACAAAAACAACGCCCCAAAAGCGCTGTCTCACAAACCAAAAAAATGAATACATTCAGAAGTTAAAAGGTATCTCCGAAGGCAACAGGACCGGCAGGCGCATTCCAGCGAGTCCCACTCCCGCCCACGATCTTTGAGCCACATCGTAGGGGTTAATCTATTATCCTTTTTGCAATACCTGGGCTTAGTTCCAGCCCAGCGAGTTCTCGGCCATGACAGGAGCACTGATCATCTGGCCCCGGCCACTTCCCCGGCTATTCTGGCTGTTGCGGGAAAGACGACCGCCAGCGGTGAAGAGAGAACCGGCACCACGACCTTCACTCGTCTGCTCCATAGTGGAATTGGAGCGGCGATGCAATTGACGCTTCTTGCGGTAGCGACGAGCAACCCAGAACATACCCGCACCATAGGCTGCGGCGCCGCATACGACACCAACGCCGATACCAACAGAGCTGGCACGAGTGGTAGAACTGCGACTGGCGCCGGCATCCGAGTCGTTGCCGGAGCCACTGCCACTGCCATTACCATCGCTGCCGCTACCGCTGCCCCTGTATCCACTGCCGCTAGACAATCCGCCGCCACTAGATGAGCCGGATTCTCCGACAACAAGAGGGATGGAGGGATCGATCATCGAGAACAAGGTCTTGACCGACTCGTTGGGCTGCTGGTAGAGTTTGGACAATGGAGCGCGGAGCAGCTTCCTCAAGGTGTCAACCTTGTCCGTAGGAATATAAGCCAAGGCAACGGTTGCAATGTACCCGGTGCTGGCCGAGTTGTCGTAGGGTTGGATCGCGAACATCGAGATATCTTTGCTGAGAATCTCCAAAGCATAGATCAGTCCCTGTGGAACGTACAGGAAGATCTGCGATGAGGAGAGCGGGGTCGTGGCGACGAAGCTGTATCGGAGTTTGCCATTGAAGCCGATCTGAATCAAGGTAGAGTCCGCTGGAGGGCTAGTCACACCATTGGCTGGCGAGATGGATCCAGGCAACTGAGCGGGTCGACTGCTGCCAGTAGTAGTCTCAGTAGTCGAGAGCTGAGTCGTGGTTGTAGGCTCCACCAGAATACCGGAGGGAACAAAGTCGGTGTTCTCGGAGGTGGTAGTTTCGGGTGGATGAATAGTGGTGGCGGTGGTGGGTGCGACTGTCGTCTCCGGCGTGGTTGTCGGACTTGGGGTCGTTTGCTCGGTTGTAGAGGGTGTCGGAATTGCCGAGCTGCTGAAAGTGGCAGTAGGCGTGACCTGACCGGTAGGCACAGTCGAGCCTACTGCGGTGGAACCCGTGACAGCAATCGAGGAACCAAGAGCGGTATTGGGGCTACCGGGAATGACAGGGATGCTGGTGGCCGAGGGAGCAGGTGTAGGAACGTTAGGACTGATCTGAGTGTACGAAGTTCCCGTCCCAGTTCCGCCGATGCCTGCCGGGATGATCATACTAGTCAAGCCGGTGGGGACGCCAACGAAGCTGCTGGTGGGAGTGCTTGCGATTGGAATGACGGGGCTGCTACCGAGGATAGGGACCAGAATTCCACCCAGCCCACTCGAGCTGGTGGCGGAGGGCGTCACAGCAGGGCCGGTCTCTGTCGGATAGTTGTTGCCTGTCGATGAGGGGGTAACAGTTCCATCAGTGTTGGTGGTCGAATCGGTATTGGCAGCTCCGGGCGCGACGGGACTAGAAGCTTCAGGCAGAATTCCAGCGAGGTTCGAGGAAACAGTGTCAAGGAGGCCGGACGAGCTCGCGGCTGGACTCGGAGTCGCTTCATCAGGAGAGGGAGCAGCGACATATGAGGAACCCGTTAGCGTCGTAGAGTTTGAGCTGGGATCAGTGTTCTCGGTCGTCGAACCCCCGGAGGTCTTGGATTTATCAGTGGCGGGTGAGCTTACTGTCGGAATGGGATTGGTTGAGCTGGTCGGGGTTCCCAGAACACCGCCGACAAGGGTACCCACACCACCCAAGGCATCGCCAACGACATTTCCGCTGCTTGCGGCAGGAGTTGATGAGGCTGGTGGAGTTTGGGAGTCGTCCGAGGTGTCTGTCTTGGCCTGAGAAGAGGTCTGCGCCGTTGAGGGAGTCGTAGCCTGAGCAGACTGATAGGCACCAGAAGATGTGACTGCTGAAGGGGCCACTGTGGAGCTTGGCGCGACGATGGGCAGAGTGGTGGATGATGTCGCGGCGCCGTTTTGAAGCAGGCCATTGAAGTAAGAGATGAAGGGATTCAAATCAGCTCTTGTATTCAAGTGAGTGTCACTGCTCGACGACGAATCGGCAGAGGAGTCACGTCCATAGACGACATGTCTTTTAAATTGTTTGGGAATGAAGCGAGGCTTCAATTCCTGAGCGTTTTCGGCCGCGACAAGCTCGAGACCTCCCAGGGACAGGAGGGCCGCAACAAGATGAGTCGCAGGACGCATGGTTTTGATACCAAATTGATTGCTCGCGATAAGGAACGCTAGGGTTGATGGTGCTGCAGTGATGCACAAAGGAATGGACGGAGCCGAAAGCTCAGCAGGGCTCCTATAGTCAAAGGTAGATCACGAGAGAGGCTCAATATTATCCGTCACGCTCGGCAATGCATCGATGCAGGTCTTGGAGCCGGCTGGGCGATGGGAAATGCTGCTATCACGTCCAAAATCGTATATACGGTTCGTAACTAGGAGGCTGGGACGCAATCACAGGTTCTTCGAGCCGGACACCCTTGCTGACAATCGACAACGGACAGCGTCGGTCGACTGAATCCAATGCAAATACTTCGACGATGTGAGTTCGAGGATCCAAATGGTAGCGATATAGCGGCGTCGACGTCAAAGCTGATCGATTCGTGATAAAGAACGAGTATATAAACAATGCGAATAAAGAGCGACAAGGGAAGCTATTGAGTCGACTGTTCCCCAAAGCGAATTGCAAAACGAATGTGAGTGCTGTAAGGAACGAACGACGAGATCTAGATTAGAAACGTCAAAAATTAATAAAAAGGAGAAAGAGACGGCGTTATTGTCGTGGATAATGAGGTGGAGGTGGAGGAGGTGGAGGAGGTGGAGGAGGTGGAGGAGGTGGTGAAGGTGGTGAAGGTGTTGGTGGAAGTGGCCGATGGATAAAGGTACCTGTTGAGTAAGGAGGACTGGCTGATCTCTGGTAGAAGCGAGAGGCGCGACCGTGGGACAGAGGGGGGCCGGTGGGAGTGGATGCGATGCAAGGAGTCAGCGCGCTTGTCAGGTCCCAACGGTAGGTAAATATGGGCCACGTCAACCAACAACAGCACCGACTATCGACGGAAGATAGACGAAATAATTAAGAGCAAAAGAAGAAGAATAAAAGATGAGGGGGGGAAAGAACAAAAAGAGTGACAAAAGGCAGGACAGACAGACAGACAGCAGCAGCACTTGAAAAGCCGAAAGCGACTAATGAAAGAGGGACCTGAAAGGATGAAAGGGAAATTAATTCAGGCGGAGATGGAGGACTATCTTTGACTAGTTTGAGGTTAGCTTGGTTTATTTTCGTTGCTAGCGCAGAGCAAGTGAGAAAAGAACAGGAGGACTGATTATTGTTACCATACTGTATCATCTTGCAGGGGCTGGCCTTATCTACCACCAAATCTGTGTCCAGGGCGGTGGAAAAGGAAAGAGAAGTCCGAACATTTCTGAAATATTACAGAAAAGTACAAACTACTGTTGGTAAACATGCAGGGTTAAGGCACGCGCTATGGACACGCACCACTTTGCAGGTTATACAATCAAAGTACAGTGTCCTTCTACGAGGTACCTTGAGTAACTGCTCTTCGAGATTTGGCATTGACAACCGCCTTCTTGGCGTCCTACAATACTTACAGCTGATGTAGTTATCTGTAGATATCCGTCGTGATGCAACCAGTCTATCAGTCTGGATGGTTCCCTTATGGAGATAATGACAATCAGCAAGGCACACTGCGGCGGCTGGCTACTGCGGCACTGCCTCAGAATATACCACTTTACAATTCTGTCAATCACCTTTAGATATCTCGCTCAGTATTATGAACTCATTGAGTTGGCCCAGAGAACAGAGTCTGTCAGAGTCGAAGGAAGAAGTCAGAAGAGAAGTCTAGATGGTCCATGGTGTATCTGGATCAAAAAGAAAACCCTGACTGAGTTCGAAATAGGAAGGCAAGTCGTGAAGAGAAGACGTCTTCAAGTTAAAGGTACCATAAACTAAAATGGTAACCACTGTGGTCGATCTGCAGCACAGAAGCAAGCAGTGCGGTGGCAGTGTTGAAAGTCCAGGCACAACACAAGCATTTCGAAGCAGGATTGAACATTCCCCTCGATGAAACTGGAACAAAGAAAACATGCAGTTCCTAAGTTCAATGAAGGAGTTCCTCAGTTTGTCCATCCATCCATCGGAGGCTGATTCCGACTCTTGCAGATTGACCTCTCGTTGGTCGTTGACCAAGTCGAAGAAGTCTTGTACTACCACATCATCGTTGATGCCCAGTGCTGGTTCTACAATGCATGCCGATCTGCTGGCCAGGCGTGGTCATCATAATTCCCGGCATTTCTCGCCCTAGGCGTCCACAGCCCACTCGGCCAATCACCCATGAATCATGATCCATCCAACCAATTCGCCAGCCTCTTGCGTTCGGACCATCGCAAGGTCTAGAATGACGGCGTCATTTTAGTGCGTGTGTGGACCACAAGCGGTCCACTTATGCCGACTTCCAAGATGAATTGTGGAAATATGGCGGAGTATTGTTGTGCGTGGTGATACAGTAGTGGTATGGTGATTTTAACAGCTAACTGAGTGGCTAGTCAGAATGAATGGACAGAGCGAGGACTGAGCCGTCTTCTCTCTTCAATAATGATCGTCTCCTCGTCTGATAAATTAGATTAAACACACGGCCTTACGGTTATGACTACGGAGTCTCCATCGTCGAATGTACCTGACGACGACAACATTCCTGAGGCATCAGTTTTGTACTCCATGAAATGTATCGCGTGGAAGCACTACAATAACAGACCACCAAGCATTCAGGGGAAAAGACATCATGGTCAAAATAGAACCATGACATACGCTAACATATTTGCAGTAAAGCCGTCCATTAGGGTGTTATAGCGTGTCATGGCGACCGACACCATTGACCTGAATGAGGAACCTAGGGGATCAACTTCTCATTTCGTCTTGCACCGAGTCTAACGCCCGCTCAATTCAGCGACCAACTCGGTCATAGCGTGAGGAACACTGCGATAAACTGATTATTGCTGATTAAACTTCGTTAGCTTGATATGAACATTGCGCGTGTCAATCATCATACCAGCTTCCAGGTTTCAACAGATCATTCATCTCCATTGGACCAGCAATTTGCCAGGTATCAATGTCGCACGGAAATGTTACTGCTATGATCTATCAATAAGGAGATGTTTACCTCCACATGCTTTTCCCTTGGCAGGATGTAGTTCCGTAAGCGACCCGGCGTGGGAGGCTGAAACGGTCGTCTTTTCATCCCTTCTGGCTGGACCGCTCCGAGCCAGGTACAGATGCTTACCGAGTCAACGAGGGTCGAACTGCATATTTGCTGTCAAGTAAGCACCTCTATCTAGTATGCGACAGAGTATCTGGAGAGCAGCCGAGAGCTACTAGAAAATGAACAGGCGAAGCCGCTTAGTACAGGCGACAAAGTAGCAAATGCCACCTGGACAGATTAGCGACTTTAGTAAAGGTCCGGCGGAGACCATGTCCTGATTCAGTAATAATGCCAGCATTCGATAGACAATATCTTACAGAGTACGGAGTAGATATTTTAGCTGCCTCCTGACTCCTGAGACTCCAGCTATCCACAGCATAATGCTCAAGTCAGGGCAAAACTTCATTCCAGGCACCACGCGGTATCCTCAAGCTTGACGATTCCAACACAGCATCAACGTCATTAGACATTCCTCCCATGTGCTTAGAGTCAGCCATGTTTTCATGACAGATGATGCATCAAAAAATGTTCTTATCGATGAAACACTCAAAAATGTGACTGTCAAGACACTTGGTAAATACAGACTTGCTGGGCTTGGTACCTGAGTTGGTAAAATGACGCTAAACCTGTTCCTGAAAATGACCTACAAAGGCCCACTTTACCAAGCGAATGTCCCATGGATCAATTGACTTTACATTACACGGTACAGGGTTTTATGGCTTGGTACAGAGTACCGGTACAGTCTGGTATTATTATTATTCTCAGCATATCATTATCACAGAACCCGCTGATGATCTGGTTCAAGATGAGCTGTCAATAACTGCTACATAGCCAGCATGTAGTAGATACTGGCTGACACTTAACCATTTCTTGGTCTGTTTCGTCCTACTGCAGGTACAACACTACTAACGTAAATTAAAGCCGTACTTGGCTATACAGAAGCCATGCAGAACGGATATGCCATCGTCCATGGGGCCACGTTTTGTCTTGAATAGGTCTAGAAATATGAATTTCTGGCTGCCTGAGGACCAGCAATACCATCCAATTCCAGCCACATCAACACCAGCCATATGACTATCACCTCAAGATACCTTACCTACCACACCCGCCAACACGTCACAACGCTTCCAATCATCATACCACAATACCTAAAGTCGAGAATCCCTCACAGTCACACCCCCCGTCACCACCGCAGAACACTCAATCTCCACATCCGTACCCAACGGCAACGTCTTGACAGCAACGCAAGTCCGCGCCTAAGCCACAGAATCAGCATCCGCATCCACATCCGCATCCACCTCATCTCAAGCAAAATGGATGGAAGCAAAACTAACCGGCTTCGGCTCCCCAAACGCCGCCTGATAGACTTCATTCACAGCCGCAAAGTCCCCCATATCAGCCAGGAAGATATTCACCTTGACCACGTCCTGCAGACTCGACCCGCCTGCTGCCAGGACGGCGGAGAGATTGTGCAGGATTTGCTTCTGCGTTGCCTTAGTTTCATTGTTCCATCTTAGCATTATTGTAATGGAGGGGGAAGTACAGTGCGCGCTTGTATCGGGCCCTCCACCATCTTCCCCGTTGTAGGATCCACGCCGAGCTGCCCGGAGCAGTAGATCATGTCCCCTACTTTGATTCCCTGGGAGAGGAATGGGGGTGGGAGGGGGGCTTTTTCGGTTCGGATGGGGATGCGGGTTGCTTTGGCCATGGTTACGGTTACTGGTGAGGTTGTCTAATTGAGGGTTTGAAGATTGGTGGGAAGCTGGACTGTTGGAGGTTCTTGGGGTGAGAATGGCTTGAGGTAGGTATTAGACTCGTGCGGAGATGTCGCCTCGCCCCACTATGACTAAGACTCCGGATGTGGTGTCTACCATGCGCTCGACAGGTAGGTGATGGCTATATAGGCAGATAATTCTAGGGAGATAATTAAACGGGCCTTGGATCTTCAAGAAAAATGATAGACGATGGTGGTGGTCTTGGGAATAAGTTTGGACTGCGGTGGCGGGAGATATATTCTTCTCTATAGGTGTGGGCAAGGGATCATAACAGATCTCGTATAGAGAGGTACAAATACGTGATATCTTAAGTTTGGCTTCAAATCAGAAATGTCTTCATCCTTTGAAGAGACTGGACTATTTCTAAATCTATATCTACCTAAAAGCAATATACTGCTGCAAGCCACTGAAAGCAAGTGAAAGAGGGTTCCAGTGGTATGCCATGCACAAAAGTGCCTATATCATAACCCTCTCACATCATTACACACATCTAGAGCAACAGTGAATGTGTGAATGTGCAAGATGCCCTCCTACTCAAACCTAACACTAGCCCTCAGGTCTCTCACCAGAATGATCCGGAACATGATCCGCCAGAAAGATGGATCGCTTTCGCTCACGCATGGAAACAATTCCAGAATTCCCAGAACTCCCAAATCTAGCTCTCCAGATGACTGAGAATTGGAAGCCTATTCCAGACTGGGAGCCTGACTGGAAGGCAAAACACAAACCAGGACCATCTCCCCAGTCAAAGAGCCCTGTCGAGGTCAGCGTGCATGGGTTGACTGCAAAGTTCTTCCTGGATCTCCCTGACGATAGAATCATCCCTACTTACTATCTGAAGAAAGCTGAGAGAACTGGTATGTTTTGTCTGTCTCAAAGATGGCCTGACAGAGGAAGCCGCTACTGATGTGTCTGTAGTCATTGTTCAGCGTACACCTTGGTGCTTTCGCAACGCTGACGATGCCCGCGACGTGGACATAAACAAATGGTCTCCAGTCGACATCCGCTTTCGAAGCGTCTTCATGACCCTGAGAAAACTTCCAGAGTTTGGCTCCCTTTACGACGAAGACGAAGACGAGGACGAGGGGTACGGTACAACGGACGCCGGAGGAAGCAAGTCCAAGCCCAAGTTCGATGAAATGGTCAAACTTCAGGGACAAGTCGTGTATGCTCTTCTGCAAGGGATCTTGGAAGCGTTCAGAATCAGCAGAGAAACGGACGACAGCGACTCCTACTTCTTTTTCCGGTCAGTAGCTTCTCCATGACATGTCACTCCTAACACTTGCACTCACAGCCACTTTAGGACGAGGCTGCTCAACTGCCAGCTGGAATATTGGATTGGATACAGCGAGAGGTACAAGGACGGTCCTCTCACAGCTGGACTGGTTGGCTTGGATCACCATCCTGACAAGAAGGTCTGCCCTACAGTTCTGCCCGTGTCAGCGGTAAACTTTCCCTCAAATCCAGAAAGTCGTTTCAGATCGCTAATTGCTTGCAGTCATTGGAAAACATATCTCTCAGATCGGCCCTCGAGGACAAGCTCAAGCTCATGCTTGGCCAGCTCCTCCTTAACATCTCCCGTCTGCGGCCCCATGGAGATCAGATCCCGGACCAGGAGGTTTATCTAATTGGCATCCACGGTTCCAGGCTGCATATTCTTCGTGCTATCTTCCTCGGCCAGAAAACCTCCCATCTGTGGAGCGGAAGACATAACCGTTCCTCCTCAGACGCCGATGTGATAGACCCCAACCCGAGCACTGCCTACGATCGATTCTACACTGGAAAGAACCTGGAACGACTTCGCCAACAGGTGGAGTGGCTTAGCGCAAAGAACCTAGACAGCGATCCAAACCCACGTAATCTTCGAGTCTTGGGCAGCCGAGAATTTGATCTCTGGCGCAAGCAAGATTTTCGGGCCGCCGTCAAGGTGATCGTGGCTCTGTTCATCTACATGATGAGCGGGCAGGCTCGTTGCGGCGTCCTGCAGAAGGCGTTCATGGATTACCCTATTGATGAGGAATCAGACGATGAGTTGGAGGAGGTACATGACACCCGCAAAAGGGTGGCGATCGAGGAAGAGGAGCTAGCAAAAAGAGAAAAGGAGTTGGAAGAGACGGAAAGGAAGAAGCGTGAGGAGGAACAGACCAAGGCGAGCATGAAGGGAAAGATGCGAAGCTCCATCAATGATCGCATTCGAGGATTCAAAGGTTGGCGTAAGCCGTGGGAGGACTTTGCGTGGCAGGACGAAGGGAAAGATAGCTCACTGGAAGACGACGACTGAAGACCATGGATCCCGGTCCTTGCTTGTCAAAATGACCGTGTAGCCTGGACCAGCGTGCTACTGGTAGAGTCAGCTATTCTGAATCAGACAGTCAGACTTGGCCATTTGGCAGCATTCCATTTGAATAGGAGATGCACCGTAGACGAAACAAAAGGTAAGTAAATATAGAGTTGCGATTTTTCTGTACAAACACCAAAATACGATCACAATGTTATCACAAATTCTTGCTTCACATGAGGTAATAACCAAGATGATCTTTTATTCCCGGTCTCTGTGACGCCTTTCGGACTCAAACTCGGTGAATCCATCAATACCCCGTCCGTCTTGGCCCCCGGTGCGAAAATACTCGACAACGACACCAATAGCGTAGCACGTTCCTGCCGTCGCTACACCACAGATGAGCATTCTACGGAGTGCTGTTCGAACTCTGGACCAAGCCTTCGCATGATCAGTGTCTTTTGAAGCATCAGCAGAGCTTACAATGGCCGGATTGGGCGACGAGTCAGAAGGAGCAGTCGCCGCTCGGATGTTTTCAACGGGGTCTGATTGAGGGGACATGAGTCGTCCTGCTATATCACCACGGCTTGGGGTCTTTGAACGCATAGCTGAGCCACCCTCGGAAGCCTTTATAAAGACAATGATATCCTGCCCGCCAGAGACAATTTCATACCCGTCATCGTGCATTTTAGCAAGGTACGGCACGAACTTCGCAGGGTGGCTCAGTCGAGAAAGGACTTCCGCGGGCGAAAGTAGCTTATCAGTCGACTGCAGTGAGGAGCTTGTCTCTGCTTCCACCACCTGCAAGGTAGAGGGGTCATATACAAGAACACGATATGTGGCTGTTGCCCAAGTATCATTCGGAGAGACTTGAACTTGATCGTGCGGCTCCTCTGCTTCATGATTTGGATCGATCCTTCCGTTGGGAAAGTCTTCTTGAGAACGAGGAAGGGAGGTACTTGCAGTCATCGAACTCTGAGAGCGCAATTGAGACTTTGGTGAGTCAAGTTGGTCCGAATCCGTCTCCTTTGATTTGGAAGCTTCATGGGTTTTGTACTTCTCCCGAATTCTTTGAGCATCTAGGTCTTTGACTGGGTCTTCGGCCATCTCAAAAGCAAAGTCCAGTTTGCGCCGCTTTTCCCTCAGTTGTTCTTCCGGATCTCGATCCTTGTTCTTCAGCTCGTACGGTGTGCGAATGTCACTGGCGCGTAGAATATCCAGATCTTCAACCTTTTCTGCCTGCGTAACCCATTCTTCCTGCTGTTTAAGCTCGTTCGATGTCATATGTAGTGTAGTGGATGGATCTTTTGATTTCGTCGGGACGCTTGACGACAGTTCATTTTGATGGCTAACCGCGGAGGGAGGCACATTGTCAGCCTCTAAACGAGCATGGTCAATTGGTAACGGCTCGTTAGTCGTTTCAATCCCCGGTGCCGGTACTGCCTTTGAAAAAGCCGTAGATTCGTCTCTAGGCTCAGTTGGCTCTTTGAGGATGTTTTCATCAGAATTTCCTGGCTTCGCAGGTAAGGTACTGCTGCCATAGGTAAATTCGCCCGGGCCCTGTGTGGTACTTTGAAGACTCGACTCATGGACGCTCTCAGATTGCACGGTGTTTTCATGGGCTGCAGCCCTTGTAACACCTTTAGCGTCTGAGTGTGTTTCTGAGTGGTCTACCGGGGAAAGGAAGCCAGCACTCTGAGCTGCGTCACTTTGAACTGTATTCAAATGAATCGATGAAGTGGGAGTTTCGGTGTGCTTGTTATTCCGAGACATCTCACAAGCTTCCCCCTTCTTCCGGACCATGCGACCAGTGATTGGATCAAACTCATAGTCTCCAATATCATCCTTCGCCGGCTCGTCATATGCATTGATCTCGCTTTTGGGGCTTGCTGACTGTCTGTCACTAGGTCGAGGATCTGATGAATGTGAAGCATCAGTCTTCACGCGCGCAGTCGTATCAGTTGCCTTCGGCTCGGCTTCTGCCTTTGACCCATGACCGAAAAAGGATTGAAACAAGGAAGAGAAAATATTCTCATTCTTGCCCGACGTCTTAAACGGTTCAAGTCTCCTCCCGAATAAAGCCTCGTAAGGATCCGCCTCGATTTCCTTCTTTATTTGTTCCATCCTCTGCTCCAAACGAACCCTTTGTGCTTCCCAATAGTCGTTCCTGGGCGTATGTTCGTTCCAATTTGGAGGAATGCTGAATTTCAGCCGGCTCCATCCCCAGCCAAGATTCCACCAGGGATGATGATTATCGAACAAAGATTGTGATCGTTGACGGTGACCCGATTGTCGGTCTCTTAGCCTTGAAGGATTATGGCGCTGATACTTTTCCAACCTCCTTCGTCCGTCAGAGCTTCTGCTCCCGTGTCGATGGTATATATATCGCCATATCCCTCGGCTCTGGAGTGAAGTGGTGCCCGACACTTGGGGAATAGTGGCGTATGGAACTTGAGGATATCTTGAAATAGCTCTCGAGCACCCCAAAGGTTTAGGATTCGATAGCAGTGCAGTATATGCCATTTTGAAAGTTTCCTTTGAGTTATGTGGATTAACTTATCGAATCTCTCGATAATGAAGGTGTCGTACCTGACTGCGTTATGACAGCCAACAATCTAGACGTTCACATCACAGCAGCTTTCGCAGGTTAAAGCTCCCAACGAAAGTCCACGCTGGAGCCAAGCACTAACAACGATAAGAAATGACGGAGACCAAGGTTGACAATGGAGGTCACAACAGAGATGATGAACTAGTCCAACTATGAGGAGCGAGGGAGCTTCCCCAAGGGCGGAGAGAGCTCCGTAGATAAGCCATGCGGGGTCGATAGCTTCCGTGAACCAAATGCTGACTCTTGGTAAGAATTCGCCACAAGGTACACTTCCATAAGAACAGCGGTACAATTTGTTTGTGGTTATACCTATAACTAGAGCGAGGCAGCAACTGCTTCAATAAGGAAGATTTATTTCTCTTGGTCATAACGGCGTCATTGTGGTAAAAGGGCCCATGCTAACGAATACCCTATATCAATATGTACAAAACAACTCCTTCATATGGCCAGGCTTGACACCCTCGAATCAATCGAATCAATGCTATTCATCGAAGAAAAGTCAGACGTGATGTAGTTGCTCCAGAACCTTAACCCTTCGATGCCTTCCTCACGACATAGGACACCTTTATCCTCAGCCATTTCTAGCTCCTCTGCTGCGACTCCGACACTCCACTTGAATCTTTGAGCAGCCTCCTGTGCTGTCACGGCACGCCCAAATTGACGCCAGTCCCAGGTTACTGGATCGGCGGGCGGTATCCGACGAAGTTCCGCCATCCATTCTTGCAGTTGCCGAATGGTCTTCTCATCACTCCAGTCGTAGCGTTGAACAACAAGAAGACCACTTTTGAATCGCCGCAGCCGAACAGGTAGTTTCAGTTTCTCCCAGAGCTCCGCTGCTTTCTGGAAGTCAGAAGGACTGACTAGTTCTACACCATTTCTGGAGCGGTTGAAAATCGCCCAAAGATCAATCAGACTCATAATACCGCCTTCTTTCTGTAAGATACCTTTTCTATCGTCGGTGAGGTACTCCGCCAAGTTCCGTGAAAGTTCAGAGAGATATAAGCTCTCAGAACCAGAGCCAAGCATATCTTTGGTCGTGATCATCCCAAGAGCGGCAGCGGATTCGGAGAGCACTGCGCTGGTTGCTGCAGAATCCTCGTCACTGGCCATACCTGATTCCCTGGCGAGCGTTTCAGCAAGGTTAACGATCCGTTTAGCAGACGCCATCAAGGCCTCAAGATCCTCAAACGAACTGCCTATTACCACCTCGTTGTTTCTACGAGCCTCAAGCCCCCGCTGCTCAAGGCCCGCGATTCCTACTGCGGGGGACCGGGGTTGCGCTGGCGCGGAAGCATTGGCAGCAACGGCACCAGAGGCTGTAGGATTCGGCGTGGCAGGCGATTGCGATGGCTGCTGCGGAACAGGAGGCGCATCATAGAGCAGCCACTTTCGTTGGACCAAGGCGCCTTTCAACCTTTCATAGAAAGTCTTTTCGCCGCCTCCGCGGAAGGATAATTTGACTACCTCGAAAGTCTCAGTATTGGCGATGTTTCCTTGTCCGAATATGGGCGCTGGGGATTCTGAACGACGTGAGTCCTCAGCAGAAGGTCCTCGAGCGACTGCGGAGGCTAGGGGAGCCCCGCATATCTCACACTCCAGAAGATAGGGATGGTTCACAAATGTACATCTGGGACACGGAGTCGAGGCATTAGGCTTGCGTACTGTTTCATCACCGTTGCTTCCCGGTTGACCAGGCTCGTGTGAAGCTGGATTTACTTGCGCGGCTTCGCGGCTAGCGGCAGCTGTGATTGCGGCCTTTAGAACGGTCGTAAATGTAGGCTTTATGCCACAAGCCAAGCATGGCGGCAAGTGAGTAGAAGCAGTTGCCGTTGCTGGGTCGAAATTAGAAGGTACCGGATTAGTGAACGAGCATATCGGGCAGACCCAGGTCGCGTTCATAGGCTTCGGTGCTGGCTGCTTGTATGGGGTTGCTGGGAGTGGAGACTGCGATCTCCCGAACTGGAAAGCTGGAGACTGTGATGCAGAGGGGCTAGCCCCTGCGCTCTTCGATTTGAGGTCATTCTTTGCGGGTTTCGGGTGCAAAATAATTTTCGAAGACGACTTCAGAAACCCTGCCTGGAAAGGGTGAGCTCGGGAGCAAATGACAGTACGGACTCAACCATCAACCATACTTGGTAATCCGCTCGGTCGATTTCCTTCAAGTCGATGGCGACTGAGTACTTGCGTGGCTCGTCAACAGCGACATAGCAGACTCGGTGAGATGTGAGGTACGCATGGCCATTTTGATAATTTGGAACTTTGAATTTTCTGCATATACGAACAATACTCGCCAGTAAGCTTCCGAATGTCAAGGCAGTGGCACATACAAAGGAACAACTAGGGAACAGCTTGCTGGCAACTCACCCTTCATATAACCCCACCGCATCCTGGACGAAGAGCAAAGTCTCATCGGGCAATAATGAGGGACGGAGTGCAGTGGTCAGATCCAGAGACTTGAAGAACATCTAGTAAGCTCAGCCAGCATCTCTCCACCCTCTTAACTGTGAAGAGAATATACAATCGAGTCCAATTCCAGAAAGTAGCCCAAGTCACGCTCCATCTCGACTCACCCCGCTGACGTAAGGTGGACTAAAGGCGGCGGGCAGTAGATAGGGAGATACAGGTAGCGAGAACCACCACTAGCGCACCCTCACATTCTCTCCGCCACACCAGCCCAGCGAGAGTAAGCGAGAACCTTGACCCCCTTCCTTTCAAAGGCCTCACTTTTGCACTTGGACCTAGTGGTCAAAGCGACATATATCACTAGGATAGCTTCGTCTACTCAACTTCACCACCATCCACCTGCTAGTTGGCCTATTCTCTCTCTCATAACCATACTAGTTTCAAGTTGAGCTGGCCACCTTCTCAGCTTACTGGTGTGTATGAATGAAATTTGATCACTCTCCTCCGAACCCAGGCAACACGTAGTCTAATCCTTTTCTTCTTCTCTTATCGATTCTGAAATACTTTTCTCCTTTAACAATATTTCATACTTTTCTTTCTTTTTGTTTATGCTTTTGTACAAGATTCTGCCATCATGAGTTCCGGTATCCCACCCTGGCGTGCTACCGCGTCCGCTACTGCTATGGCCCCTCACTTTCCTGCACATGGTATGTGTCTTCTTACTCCAATATGTTTACCTATTCATCTTCTAACTGTGACTTAGCGACCCCTGCATATATCCCTGTTCAAGCACGCCGTAGCTTTGCTCATACCTCTACCACCGCCATGGCACCTCAGCCGCAGCCAATGACAACTCAAGCACCTCGCAAACGAGTAGAATGGCCAGCCCCCCTTCGATCATATGTACAACGAAGCTTCGCGCCTGAAAACCAACTTCCTGGAGTCAACCGACAGGAGATGGAGGTGAAATTGAAGACTGTCATTACTGAGGCGGCGGAGAAGAATCAGCTGGAGAAGATCAACTGGGATGCATTGCCCCTACCGCAAGTCATGATTCAAAACGAGCGCAACCAGATCCTTACCAATCCTGATGTCTCTGGTTGGAGTGCTTCTCTTTTAACTGCTGCTCAGAAACCGGACACCGTGACCGAGGACGTTTCTAGGAAAAGAAAATCGGCTGAGTATGGGGACAAAGACAGCTGTCCACCATGGAGGCAGACTAACAATTATCATGCATTTGGAGATCGAATTACTTATCCCTCAGCAGACAAGCGCCAGCGTGTTGATCATAAGAACCCCAGTAAGTCAAAAGCTAATTTGGAAATGCGGAGGAAACGTTTCGAAGAACCACGGTCCAGATATGGCTCTTCACCATCCTCATCCCGTGGGGAATCCCCAGCGCCCAGTGCCAACCAAGGCCCTGTTGTTGGACGGTGCCAGGAGCTAGAGAAAAACTACTTCCGCTTGACTTCAGCACCAAATCCGGACACCGTTCGACCGCTGCATGTTTTGCACAAGACCCTGGATCTTTTGAAAAAGAAATGGAAGAAGGATAACAATTATGGATATATTTGCGACCAGTTCAAGTCTCTGCGACAAGATCTGACTGTCCAGCATATCAGAAACGAGTTCACTGTCAGTGTCTATGAGATTCATGCCCGCATTGCGCTTGAGAAGGGAGATCTTGGTGAGTATAATCAATGTCAGACACAGCTGCGAGCGTTATATGCCCAGAATCTCGGTGGGCATCCTACAGAATTTAAGGCGTATCGTATTCTTTATTTCATCCACACTCGCAATTGGACGGCTATGAACGATGCGTTGGCCGATCTAACAGCAGCAGACAAGCGTGATCCTGCTGTCAAACATGCTTTGGATGTTCGTTCAGCCCTTGCCCTGGGAAACTATCATCGTTTCTTCCAGCTCTACCTCGACACCCCTAATATGGGGGCTTATCTGATGGACATGTTTGTGGATCGCGAGCGACTTTCCGCACTTGCGGCCATCTGTAAAGCGTACGTGTTCTTCTACGTGTTGTGTGCTGTTATTTGCGGGGCTGACTTGGTGACAACAGTTACAAACCCGACGTAAAGATACGATTTATCACTGAGGA